CCCCGCCCCTTCACGCCCGGTGTCTTCCCCAGGCTGTGCTCAGGGAAGGCCCCGAGCTGGCCTGAGAAAGGCCTTCTTGGGGCTGCAACAGGTCTTTTCGGTTCAGTCTGTCAGACCCAATCTCGGCTCAGAGGCCCCAGGCGCAGACACAGCCCAGGTCGCAGGGCCTCCCTCCACCTGGTCGCAGAGCCTCGCTACCCAAAAGAGAAACACCAGCACATTCCGCAGAGTGCCATCAGGGCCGGGCACTCAGCAGGCCTGTCCCCCATCCTCTGCCCTGTGCCACCTTCTGCCTCACCTGCCCCCTCCCGCCCCCACACCCAGGCCCTGAATCCTAGACCTACACTACCCCCACCCTGCCTGCCCTCCCCAGGGGGAGGAGAGCGGAGCAAGGTGAGTCCTTCGTTTTCTTTTATTACAATTATTATTTTTTAAACTGTCTTTTAGAAAATATATGTTTTTATTATTGATTTCAGAGAGGAAGAGAGAGATAGAAACATCAATGATGAAAGAGAATCATTGATTGGCTGCCTCCTGCACACCCCCTTCCCCCCCTCCCCCCGGGGATCGAGCTCACAACCTGGGCAAGTGCCCTGACCAGGAATGGAACCATGACCTCCTGGTGCATAGGTCAATACTCAACCACTGAGCCACACCAGCCTGGAGAGCCCCCCTTTTTCCATAAGATAGAGTCTCAGAGCGACACAGACTTCCCCATGGCCTCACAGAACCAAAGGGGCGTCCCTGCACCAGAAGCAGACCACCTGACCCCGCCCGTGCCCACTCGGAGGGGCCCCCTCAGACGGGGTCTCCAGGGTCAGTGCGGGGCGGTGTGAAACCCCGAGCTTCCCTCTTCCCCCTTCCCCGGGGAGGGTGCCGTGGAAGGCAGTCCTTCCTCAGAGTGTGAATTCCGCCTCCTGTGGAATGTCCCTGTGGCAGCAGAGGGAAAGGAAGCGGGTCCTCGGCCGGCCCTGGGTCTGACCGCCCGCCGCAGGGTGGGAGGGCCGCTGG